TTCTATCGGTGGAAGTCTTGCTATTAAATCCTCAATTGCCGGGGCTACTGGAGCTGCATTCTGTTCAGTTACATTCTTACAACATAATATGTTAATACATAGGGTGGATGGGAAGCATCCTTTAATACATTCAAATATTTTTAGTCTATGCATAATATATAGGATTCCAATAATTAAAGCAATATATCCTGCTATTTGTAGTACAGTTAAACCGTAGCTTTTTATGCTAGTCATACGATGTTCGAATTGTAATTTGTCGATTTCTTCATCAATATCTTTTAAAGTGGTTTTAAATAAATGCAAGTTATTAGAAATTTTAGGAGCTGTTTCTAATTTGTCTAGCAGAATACTAAGATCCGTAATGTTTGAGATTGGGATTGATTTTGTTCGAATATCGTATGTTACACTTTTGCTTATTCCACCTATTTTCATTAAATTGGTTCCATAAATTAAATTGCAAGGTGTGTTTGAAAATATTAAACTTGGGTTCTTTATAGTGATGCTACTTGAACTGTCTTTGGCACAAATTGTGTGAATATTAATTGGTTTTTCTGGGATTACGATAAAGTGATTTTCTTGTCTAAGTGGCACGAATGTCAAATCTTTGATTTTGAAGAGTACGAATTGACAATTTTTAATTTGATTATTATGATTAATTAATTCGGATGTACAATCATGTGTTCCTAATTTCGAATGAATAGGTTGGTTTCTCTTACAAATTTGAATGGTGGCATGCATTTTACAATTCTTGTCGAGGTATTCTTGGTTAACGTTCATGAAGAGCTCGTCTTTAAAAAGGTAATAAGGTGATTCTATTAGTGGTGCTGAGAATACATTGTTTTGTTTTGAGGGAATTGGATATAATTTTTGAATTTTCCATTCCTGATCTTCCACAAGAGGAATTGTAATTTTAAAGAAAATCTTTTCGTCGATTGTCCAAAGAATGAGTTTACTAATATCAAGAATAAATTGAAAGTTTTCTTCTTTTGGTTTGATTGTTGGGTTTAAGAATTTATTCCCGAGTATATCTTGATAGCTCTTAATGAAAGTTTTATGATCTATAATTTGTGGACTTATTATACCTTGTTTTCCTAAGATGATAGTGTTTAATAATTCGTCAAGTTGAAACCGTAAGTCATATGCAGCGTTATCTGTTTGTATAATCATATTAGTTAATAATTCGTACTTTCTGGCATTTTGTTCGTTTAATTTTACTTTTATTGCTAGGTTTTCAATTTGTTGGAGGTTATCTGAGTTTACAATTTTTCAAACAATCAAAACCCAAACAGTCCGATTCGACTTGTAAAACATCCCGACTTTGACGATTGACACTTTCTCTATCAAGTTAGAAGAGGAGGCAAAATAATAATAAGAATAAGAATGATAATAGCGATAATCCCATTAGAATTGTCTGTCTCCAGTTTCCTCTCTCAATTTATCGTTCCCGATCGTGTTCAGTTTCTTATCGTAAATGGATAAATAAAATGAAAAAATTTTTGTTTACCTCGATCCGGTCCGTGTCACGTAAAAGAATAATTTATATATACATTTCCCTTTTCTCTCTCTTTTTTTTTACTTGCCCGTTAGGAGATTCTCAGCTCGTCTCTTGTCGCTCCGTGTACCTTCTTCGTAGAAAGTTTACTCCCTTTAACCAAATTGTATTTAGTTCGTCCGTTTCTCCCTCGACACCTGTAATCCAACAATCCTTTTGTTATTTCAACCATTATTGTTCAATCACCTTTGAATCAGTACCGTTCAATGATCGTAACGGTTAATAATAATTTGTACTTTCTTTACCTTGTTTTTTGGTCCGACTGTACCTATTCCTTTTCTCAAAAGATAGTATTTGCCAAGCCCAGGCGTTGTCAGTGTATCTGCTAACTTTTTGTCCTGATATAAACCAAGTTCTCCGTCGTACAGTCCTTTGTGCGCGTGTCTCCTTGTAAATATATCAGCTCAAGTGTTTCCAGCCCTTGGCGTTCGTTTTCTCCCATACGATTCTCAACTTGCAATAATCATACCATAAGACAAGCCTCCCAGACTGTAATTATTACAGGTCAATCGTTGTAAATAGTAATATTGACAACAATGTACTTTAAAGCAGTTAGTCTAGTCTCCGTATATCCCTGTACACCAGTACATATATTATTATTATCACTATTATTTCTTTTTTCCTTACCGATCTTTTCAGTATCCGTATTCTTTGCCATACGTTGTAACGTCTCAATGTTCGATACATTCTTAATGCGTATCGATCCCTTGTTTCCCCATTACCTCGTCTCGTTCTTCTGTCTCCAAATTTTTAACTCCTCATTGAGAATCAGTGCTACTCTTAAGCGGACGAAATATAACTATAAATAAATAACCGAATGGTCGATCAGAAATTATGCCACCTAACTTTATTTTAGGCGCTGATCCATTCAGAGCGTCATGGACTCTTTCCATGAGACGGGTGTTCAAACAAAACCTCCCTCGTCCTCCAAAGTCATCTTCCGTGAAATTGACTGGAAGGTCCCAATCAGCTTGCTCAGTAACCCCGTTTGTGTAACGAAGGTCCTCAACCACTGCTTGTCCTAGTACTCTAGGCGATGGTAACACAGCATATTTCCAGTGGTTCTCATGGGTAATCTTCCCAAAGTCACCTGTAGCGTTTGGCCACACATGTAGGTCCAAACGATAGTGTTTAGAATCCTGCTGGAAATCGCCAAGTGAGCGCAAGTATGCGTCCACAGAAGGTGGTGTCGGATAATTCTCACTTTTGAGATACGACAGGAGGGACTCATCGTCATGATCGAAGTCGCCTCTCAGAACGCGGATCTGTGCGTATCTAGCAAACAGATGCATACACATCGCATAACGATATGCACTCTTCGAGACTATGGTGTTAAATCTCTTATCTGTCGCTGCTCGCAGATCATATTCGCGATCAACTAGAGGTATGAAAGCTTCGTTAGTGACTGCAAAGTCACGATGTCTTCTTACCTCCGTAAAACCACCGAAGTCGCAATCAAACTCTATATTCATAGGGTCATTGCTAAATGGCGTTGCTGTTGTGCTTAACTTAATTGAATCAGCAGCTTTACGACCAGGTTCAGGCCGTGGTAAGGGTGGTGTCACCGCAGCTTTGAGTCCTACTTTCTTAACCCTTCTAAAAGGTGTACGCTTACTTGTTGTAGGTTCGGTAGCCTGCTCTTGGACATCATTTTCCTTATTTAGCTTTGCTGTCTTCATTTTAAGTAGTGTTCCTCACAATTCACCAAAGATTATTTTGCGAATGTCTCTATCTCCCTTTTCGACCTTCTCCCTTTTTCTATTTCCTATTGAAAAGCTAACCCGAGGAAGACTCCCCGGCTCGCATTATCTGTTTCCATGTTTCGGTTGCACCCTATTTACTTTATACACGTATAGACTTCCTCGTGAACTCATTAATTATTGAATGTGCGTTTCAGACACGTTCAACTATTAACTTAGTTCTATCCTCCCCCTATTATCACCGTCCATCAACCCAGTGTTAAAGTATAGTTCAATAAAGTTCAATTTATACCTGTCAGCTACTGTTGTTTGTCATACTTCAAAAATTTATTCATCCGTTCGGATTCTTTGTCATACAATATGACATATCTTCCTTAACTCCGTTTTTTATCTTTTCCTTTCCCTTTTTCCCTTTTTCGGGAAGAAGACCAATTCTATTCCCTGTCATTTAATATTCAATCCCGACCGATCATCTTCTTAGTAGTACATTCACCTCCGACGGAATTTTTATTGCTCACAGTCTTGCTTTTACTTATTCAATGTGTTGTTTCGCCATTATTACTGGTCTCGACGTGTGTGAGACGGTAATCTTATCGCTCATACCTTTTCCTTTATTCAGCGATGCATTTACAGCTCTGTGTCTCACTGAACATTCCAAAAGATAATCCATTTATTCTGATCTTCTAGATCAGATCAATCTAGCCGGATCTAGCCGTTCTGGTCCTTTCGTCCTACGGCATAATTGGGTGCCCGGAGGGACCGTAAACCTTTGACTCACCGAACCTGCTACCTGCTACCTGCTACCTGCTACCAAAGTGTATATCCAAAGTGTATATCCAAAGTGTATATCCAAAGTGTATATCCAAAGTGTATATCCAAAGTGTATATCCAAAGTGTATATCCAAAGGGTATATCCAAAGGATATATCCAAAATGGCACTATATTCCACTTACACTGTAATTCACTCGCACTGTATTTCATTTGCACTGTAATTGACCTGCACTGTATTCCAATTGCACTGTATTCCAATTGCCCTCCGATCCAATTCTAGTGGACTCATGACTCCTGGACCCAAGGTAATCTCGTCTCCACGGCGAACCTTTAAACAAATTAGACAAATAAAATTAAACCTGTCTCGTAAGGAACACGGCCGCGAAATTACAGAGAACAAGAAAATTATTACTAACGCGAAGATCGAAGTGAAATGGAAATAAATCGAAATCTTTCTGTTCAAAGCCAAATAGACGAACGTAATTGCTCAAGAGATTCTACTTGCCGATAACCTCGCACACGATGGTTTTAACGGCCGACCGAGAATTTTGCTTTGAATTTTTACGAAGCCACGTATCCTTCGATCCCATCACGATTTTCGACTAATTTCCCCGATACTTCGTCACTTTCCGAGCAAAAACCGCACTGAATTCATAGTTAGCGACCCGAATCGCGATCGAATGCACGTTCGCGAAAAATGAGATTGCCGTTTGCCGTTTTACAAAAATGGCCTCTCCTTCTTCTATGTTCTAGGCGACCCCCCACGACAAAGTAAAAGTCTGGAGAGGTACATGAATTTCTACGTAACGGCAGTTATGGACTGTTACTTTTGTGTATAGCTCGGCGGTCGCGTCTCGAAGCGATAAGACGAGGTAACAAAATATGATCCGAAAATCGATAACATCTCGTCGGGATGCAAAGGAAAGAATCGAAACTGAACCGTCTTTCGGTGTTTCTCAAGTCATCGTATATTATGATTTATGGAGAAGATAATTAAGTAACATAATTCCTGATTGTTTCCCTTACACAAGCGGCTGTACGGTTGCGGTGTTGTTTAAAAAGTAAAGGAATTCGAAATCTCATTTATTATGCATTGTGCTTGCATTTGAAAACGCGACACCTAGTCTGCAGCGACCGTGAGTGCCTAATTCCTACCAATCATGTGTGTCGATGAGTATCGGCCAATCATTGTTGTTGATAGATGTAGCTTTCGACAAAAAGATTTCGGTTGCGAACTACTTCGCCTTCGTCTTTGTCTCATTAGCAATTGCCTTGCGCTCGGTGGAACATCGCGTCCGCGTTCGCGCCGGTGTTAGCGACCCTTGCAAGGCAATTTATATTTTATTCGACAAGTTTATTTATACATGCGTCGCCGTAAGCCTGATTTCCTGAAGGGCATCAAGTTATTGACGTTCAGGTATGATATTTCATAGTAACTTCGTTGGTAGATGAGAATGTTTTAATGGCGTCGTTTGTAGCATCCTTTCTATCCATTCCGTTTTATGGATCGCGACTTGGACTTCTCTCTTGGCAAAATATCTTCTCGGTTTTAAAAATTCTATCGTTTATATCGTTCATAATATATATCTCTTCCAATATGAGTAAATTCGTAATGTTCTCCTGACTCTTACTTCGCCGTGGGGGGTCGCGTAGAACATAGAAGAAGGAGAGGCCATTTTTGTAAAACGGCAAACGGCAGTCTCATTTTTCGCGAACTTGCATTCGATCGCGATTCGAGTTGAGTAATTATGAATTTAGTGCGGTTTTTGCTCGAAAAGTGACGAATTATCGGGAAATTAGTCGAAAATCGCGATGGTATTGAAGGATAACGTGGTTTCCGCATATGCTGTACAGTCGTCTCTTTCTTTCTCCTCTGCAGCCAATCTGATTTCTTCTTTATGTCTTTCAAGACGTCCAAAGGCTGCTCCAGTGGAGTCTTCTTCGTCCTCGGGCTTGAATTTCGTTTCCTCTTTTCACTGGGTCCAGCAAATGAAACATCGCTTGATTGTGTTTCGTGATTTACTATTTCCTCTTCTGATTGAATATCCTCCACGTCTTCCTCTGGTCCTTCCTCCACTTGAACAATATTTTCCTCTTCTTCTCCTCCTTCATGTTCTAATTGCCATGCATTGTTCTGAAAATGAAATATTTTTTTAATACTGTTTTACATATGTGTTATACTTTTGAATATTATTGCTCACGGAACATCCATGAATTAGCAGTCATG